CCGGTTCAGTTCATATTGGCTACACATACAGCAACCGTGGCTCTTACAGGTCAGGGTATGTGAAGCAGTGGTTGTCCTTACTGGCCCGCAGTGTGGAGGAGTAAGGGTAGGGTTGCAGCCCATGATGCCATGTGGAATGTTGGGAGCTGGATGGGTAGGGAGATGCTCAAATGGAGTTCTCCAATGACTGCAAAGGGAGGCAAACCTGTGATTGTTGGACCTGTAGGTCATCAAGACTCTGCAGCATCTGTGTTTGCTTCCGGAGAAGCCCCATTATGTCCTGGTGCATCTCACTCTGCGACTCCTGGGGCTTTCTCCTGTCTGCTCTTTCCCTGTCCATTCCTTCTGCAATATTCACCCTCCAGGCCCTCTGCTCCCAGTCTAATGCAGCACTGGCTTGCAGGCTCTCACTGAACGTATCCTCCCGTGTCCTCTTCTTTCTTCTCCTTATCATGGTCAGGTGTTCCAAGGGTCTGGAGGGGGGACCCTTTGTTGGAATTTTTAATAATGGAAATTAATAATGGAAATATTAATATGGGAGATTGCCAGATACTAATTTAGCCATAAATTCCTTTCTTAAGTCCAAAGTCCAAATGATTATTTTATACAATTGCTCTACACCCAACACAGTAACAAAGTATTCATAAGCATGTGATCAGTCTGCTTACAAAATGGCCAGACCTAGGGAAAACCATCTCATTCTGGCATGCTCCAGCATGTTCAGGTAGGGTCTGACAAAGAACCTTCAAATTCTTAACTCTTTTTGCACCCTTTAACAAGTGTATGATGTCATGGCCAATTAGTGACTTTAGCTAAAAAAACCACTTTGAGACAGTTCACCCTTATGTTCAGCCTTAATCTAGATAAAATTCACAACCTCCTTTTCCCCGAGGCCTTTTCTCCTGATTGCGCCTTGCTGACCAACAGTTCTTCCATTGCTTCTGGGTTCATGTAGGCCCGAATTTTTGAGATAACATTGGCATGTGTAGCAAGAAGGTCCATATTGGCTCCTTTTAAGACAGATTCCTCCTGTCATATTTAAAACTATCTGCAGTCACCCCCTAAGTTCCCTGTAAGCTGCGTGGCCACACAGTAGTCTATTTAGTGCTGCGCAGGAGCTCAAGGAACCCACCCAGGGACCTGCCACAGCCAGGGAAGGGGTGCCGCTCCCCCTGGCCCCTACCTAGCCTGGCTCCCAACCTGCTGGAGCGTGGGGTGCCCCTCCCTGGCCCCAGCTCTGCTGCGGTGTGGCCCGGGCTGGCCGCAAGCACGGCCGGAGTGGCCCAGACCCAGCCGTGGATGGGTCATCCAGACCTGCTGGGGCGGTGTGGCCCCAGGCATGGCCAGAGTGGCACGGCCCCAGCTGCAGCCGGGGCGGCCCGGCCTGGGCTGGGGGAGGAGCACCTATCCTGCAGCCCCAACCCCAGAGCTACCGTGGTGAGGAGAGGCGCCTCTTCCCCCAAGCCCAGGTGCTTCTGCTGTGGGGGGAGAGAGCTGGGGGGGGGGAGTCCTCTCTCCCCGCCATAGCCCCTGAGCACCCTCCTGCATCCCAAACCCCTCATCCCCAGCCCCTCCCCAGAACCCTCACACCCTGCACCCCAATCCTCTGCCCCAGCCCTGAGCCCCTCTGCCCCAGCCCCACCCCAGAACCCTCATACCCTGCACGCCAATCCTCTGCCCCACCCCAGAGTCTGCACCCCCAGCCGGAGCCCTCACACCCCTGCAGCACCCCCCAAAAAAATTTGCATGTCTGTAAAAAGTTGCATGACCAGGTCTGAAAAACAAAAACAAACAATAAAAAAAGAACTTAGTGCGTGCAGTTGTTTCTTGCTACTCTAATAAAATATTAATTATTTGTGCTAAGAGAAGAGAAATCATGACAGGGGAATCAGATAAGAGCACAAACTGAGAGCAAATCTCTTATCTATCATACTCATTATTACTACTGTAGCACCTTATCTGACCCCCATCACTACAATGTCTGAGCACCTTACAATCTTTTAATGAATTTATCCTCACAACACCCCTCTGAGGCAGGGAACTATTTTACAGATGGAGAACTGAGGCACAGAGAGGCTAAGTGATATGCCCAAGGTCACATGGGAAGTCTGTGGCGGAGCAAGGAATGGAATCCAGATCTCCTGTGTCCCAGGCGAGTGCCTTAAGTCCTGGACTATCCTTCTTGTAATGCATTTTAGTGAACAGGCTTCCGTATTTCCCTTTCAAAACCATCCTCCCACTGTTCAGGTGGTTACATTTCAGATACCCCCGCTCCAGAAGAACACCATCAAAATGGGAAATCACAGAAATTATTACTTGACACTTCACGCTTTTCTTGCTAGTAGTTATGCATTCATAAAATGCATAAATCAACATCAAGATATCTGGGGTTAATTTTAGTGTTTAGCAAAACTAGCTAAGTTCTTGCCTTTTTACATTATGTCTCCTAGGGACCCTACCTATTTTTGCCAGTGTGCCTTGTGCATGACATTGCTCTGGATAGCAGATTCTTATGATGATGTTTTGGGGATAAGACTTTTTGTTGGTGTGTTTTTCCTCTTGTACCTTAAATTCAAGTTAACGTGTGAGCAGAGAATTGGAGTGAAAGATATTTAAGGGAGTATTTGGTGGGTGTAGTCAAGATTGCCATCCCCATGTATTCAAAAATCATAAGCCAGGCCCCAAAAATTACAAGCTTGGCTTAAAAACTATGATTTTTTTTAAGTTATAAATTTGAGTTCTTTCTATTTGTCTTTGGGTTTTAGAGACTTCAGATTTCATAATTTCAAGCTTTTCTCCACAACTGAGCGCTAGAAACCTTTTTGTTTGGTTTAAGGAAAGCTGAAATTATCATGTGATCACATGAGTCCAGGAGCTGGGAGTTTAAAAAGAAAAAGCACCACCAAATATCATGAGACTTGATCTGCAGGACAGCTGGGTTTGGAAATGTGACTGTTTTTGTGGAGGCCACACATAGAAAAATGCTTACTGAGATGTCTTCATATTACATCCAGATGTATGCGTAAAAGGCCATTCAGGGAAGCTATGTACTCTTTTGATGTGAAAGCAGATTCCAATGCCACCCTAAATGCCATCTCTTTCTTACAGTACTAACACAGCTTTGGTTGTTTTGTTCTTTCCCTCACTGAATGTAGCCACCAATGTATAACTCAGGTTCACTGAGTTGTCTTTTCTTTTGGTGATGAATGAAGTCTAGTAAATATCAATAAAGTATTCTTCTGTCCACCCCGCTATACTGGGTGGACAGACCTATGGACACTGTTACTTCTCCACCCAGGGCCGGCTCCAGACACCAGCCCAGCAAGCAGGTGCTTGGGGCGGCCAACGGAGAGGGGTGGCACCTCTGGCTCTTCGGCGGCAGGTCCCTCACTCCCTCTGGGAGCGAAGGACCAGCCGCCGAATTGCCGCCGAAGACTGAAGCGGCGGTGGCAGGGCTGCTGCAGATCTTGATCGCGGCGAAAACCCTGGAGCCGGCCCTGGCTCCACCTGCACAGATTTCATTCATACGTTTCAGATTTAATTATTATTGCATTTCACCTTTTGGTTTGTGGCTATTCTCTACAGCCAAGTGCACATTTCTCTTTAAATGTAGGTCATGTCAGTTTTGTACAGACACATTCAAGAGTTTTCTTTAATATCTGCTCTAGATACCTACCAAACCACCTTGCCCTGCTGCTTAAATGCTGTCAGGCGAAAAGTGATATCTACAGCTTTGTTGCTAATCATGCCATAGATTCCTATGTTGAAATAATTTTAAAACTGTAATTTGATTTTTGTGAGTTTTGCTGTTTGAGTCCTTTTTGCTCAGTTTGGACAATGAAAATAGACCAGTCAGTTTCATTTTCTGGTTCTTTTGCATTACGCAATAATACTGAAGTATTTGGGTTGCAAACAAAGCAGGGAAGGATTTAAATGCAAACATCTGTTTTCATTCACTTTGTGTTGGCTAAATTTCATGGACATTTCTATTAATATAGATTGTATAAAACAAATTTTCCTTTTCCAGAACCTAAATGTAGATCACAAGCTACTTGACTCTGTTCCTTGAATCATTCTAACGTGGTCATTCAGGGACACTCTTCCCTGTTTTATTTCTTGGTAGCTACTACCAGCATCTAGACCAAAATCCTCAAAACCTACAACAGCTGATCAGTTGGGTTTTCAGATTTAATAAGAGGATCAATAGCATTCCATCAGTAGGTTAATAAACAGACTATATAAACCAGGCCCAGTAGGATCTGTTGTACTGAGATATTATGCTGACGAAGTGCAGTGAAATTATTTTCTAATACTTTGCTTTAGGATTATTGTTAATTGTCCTCAAAAGCATCTTGTGACAACCCTTTAAATGAGGCAGGAATGGAAGAAGTTAAATGAGTGCTAATATGAATGTCAGTGCAATAAATACAAACATTTACTTCTAATGACTAACAGTCTCATTGTTTAACTTAAGATTTTGGTGATCCTTGGTACAGTCACTTAGACCCAGATCTTGCAAACATTTATTGCGTTGTCCCATTGATTTCCATGGGGTCTACTCCACATACGGAAAGTTACTTGCATGTATAAATGTTTGCTGGAGGGGGGCCTGAGCGCGCCAACCTTTTTCCAAGAAGACCAGCAATACAAATCCTCATCTTGCATCCATTTTCCCATTTCTAAATGTTATCTATAGGGATACACACACACACACACATATATATTTTTATTTTTATATGCTTGAAGTAATTTTTATTGCCATGTAAATTGTGTACTCGGCAATTTCAGGTAGGAAGAATTAGAAGCATTACACCACTAACGTGATTCCTGCATTTATTTTCTTCAGCTGCATGAGATGTTAAGTTTGGGCCTCTTGTACAAAGAGGAATGTGTTTGAAATGCATTTTTTTGTTGCTTCTGGGTCTAACCCTACTCTGTGTGTATGCTAACTATGTTGGGTATCTTCCCTATATAAACATTTGCAATATGTTGCTTTTCAGCTTGGTTTTGGGTCATTTCTTGGAATAATTGGATCAAACTTGATAGAAAACAAAAGACAAATGGTAAGTTCAGTATCTGTGTGTAGCTAATTTATTTAAAAAATTACCTAAAGAATAGTAATAAACCCTTGTTTTGAAAGTGCTAGAATGTGTTTGCCTAGCACTAGAGTAGCGCGTTTGTCAGCCTTACATTTTTGTAGACTTGCTGAACAGTAATGAATGAACTTCCATGTCTTTGTCTCATTTGTAGTTAAGTTTAAAGGGCCAGTTATTCAGCTGCTGTAATTCACTGTCGCTCCATTGAGGTCAGTAGAGTTGCTCTGATGTTACCAGCTGAGGATCTGGCCCAAAAACCCAGAATAAAGAGATAAACCGAAAATACTCTTTAAGTCTGGAACCCGCAGTCCTTCCTTAGGTAAAACTTCTGCTTTGCTGGTGCCTTACATATGACGCTCCTGTTACCATAGGCACCAACTTTCCCTGGCACTGATGGGTGCTTGCGCCACCCTCGGCCCCACCCCGACTCCACCCATTCCCCACCCCGCCCCCATTCCAACCCCTTCCCCAAAGTCCCCACCCCAACTCCGCCCCCTCCCTGCCCCATTGGACCCCTTCCCCAAATCCCCACCGCCCAGCTCGCCTCCGCCTCTTCCCCAAGCACGCCGTGTTCCCCCTCCTCCCCCCTCCCTCCCAACCACGCGAAACAGCTGTTTTGTGGCGCAAGCACTGGGAGCTAGGGGGAAAAAGCGGGCACGCGGCACGGTCGGGGAGGAGGCGGAGGTGAGCTGGGCGGTGGGGCGGGGAGCTGCCGGTGGGTGTAGAGCACCCACCAATTTTTCCCCATGGAGTCGGCGCCTTGCCTGTTACAAGTATTAACAGGGTGGCTTGTCCATGGACCTAAGTCTTTACAGAATGAGCCAGGTGAGAGGAATCAGGTGATTCCAGTGTAAAAGGAGCAGGAAGTTGCAGCGAAGCGGGACAAGCTTAGGAAACTGCAGTTGCGCCTTTAGACACTTCAGGGAGTAGTAGAAGGCTCCTGCAGGGCCCAGAGTCACCAAGTGAAAGACATCAGCTGCGAAAGCCTGTGGAGAAGGACAAACTCCAGGCAGGAGGTACTGGGAAGCAGACAGACAGATCCTCAGGGAGGAAGGGCTGTGCCCAGCTGGAACTGGGATGAAGCCTGTGAGAGTTTGAGTTCTGTTTTCAAAGGCTTTGTGTTATTTTGGACAACCAGGAGAGAGAGACTGAACTAGGGGTGGGCTGGAGGGTCAGTGTGCACCTAGAGACTAAATAAATGGGACCCCTTGAGAGGATTCTTTGAATTACCTGAGTACAATAGAGTTAATATGGAGATATACTTATCTCATAGAACTGCCTTTACTAGCAGGGCCAAATATTGATTTTGCCCCAGAGCCCTAAGTGGCCCTCTCAAGGCTTGAACTCACAACCCGAATTACCTGGGGACTGAAGAAAGGGCAGGGCACTGCAGAGTGACTTCTGGCCACAAGGGGCAGCTCAGGAGGCAGCCAACCCTGTTACAGGACGCCAGAATATTAGCCTTTTTTTTTCCAACTGCATCACATTGTTGACTCGTATTCAATTTGTGATCCACTATAACTCGCCCCACCAATCCTTTTCAGCACTATTACTGCCTAGCCAGTTATTCCCCATTTTGTGGTTGTACGTTTGTTGGTTTTCCTTCCCAATTGGAATACTTCAAACTTGACCTTATTGAATTTCATCTTGTTGATTTCAGATCAGTTCTGTAATTTGTCAAGGTCATTTTGAATTCTCATCCTGTTCTTCAAAGTGATTGCAACCCCTCCCAGCTTGGTATCATCTGCAGATTTTATAAGTGTACTCTCTACTCCATTACCCAAGTCATGAATGAAAATATTGAATAGTACCAGACCCAGGACTTGACTGCTGCTGGAGCCCACAGAAAGCAAGTGTGAAAAATCGGGGCAGGGGGTGGGGGATAATAGGCACCTATATAAGAAAAAGCCCCAAATATCAGGACTGTCCCTATAAAATAGGGACATCTGGTCACCCTACACTTGATACACCCTCCCAGTTTGACAGTAAACCATTGATAACTACTCTTTGAGTATGATCTTTCAAACACTTGTGCACCCACCTTATAGTAACTTCATCTGGTACCCATTTCCCAAGTTTGCCTATGAGAATGTCAAGTGGAACTGTCAAAAGCCTTAGTAGAATCAGGCTATATGATGTCTGCAGTTATCCCCCTATGCACTAGGCCAGTAACCCAGTCAAAGAAGAAAATGAGGTTGGTTTGTAATGATTAGTTCTTGACAAATCCATGTTGGTTATTACTAATAACCCTATTATCCTCTAGGTGCTTACACATTGAGTTTGTAATCATTTGTTCCAGTATCTTTCCAGGTTGACTGGTCTGTAATTTCCTGTGTCCTGTTTGTTCCCCTTTTTAAAGATAGGGATGGCTTGCCCTTCTCTGGGCCCTCACCCATCCTCCATGAGTTCTCAAAGATAATCACTAACGGTTCGGAGATTGCTTCAGCTAGTTCCTTGTGTACCCTAAGGTGAATTTCATCAGGCCCTGCCGACTTGAATACATCTAACTTATCTAAATATTTTTAACCTGTTCTTTCCCTATTTTGGCTTGTATTCTTCCCCTCTGTTGTTAATATTAATTATGTTATGCATTTGGTCACAATTTACCTTTTCAGTGAAGACTGAAGCAAAATAAGCATTGAACACCTCAGCCTCTGTGATGTCATCAGTTATTAGCTCTCTTTCCTTGCTAATTAGAGGACCTACACTTTCCTTGTCTTCCTTTTTATCTTAATGTATTTATAGAATGTCGTCTTATTCCCTTTTATGTCTAGCTGTAACTCATTTTGTGCCTTAGCCATTTAGATTTGCATGAGAAGTGATTATGCATGAGAAAATTTAGAGAAATTTGCCATGAATGTTCCAAACTTGCAATTCGAAATGCTCATAGCTTGAAACACTGTTGTTTCTTCTGTTGTTAGCAGTGTGAATGCAGCTTATCTGAGGAATGTATGGGAAATGACCACTCCTTTCACTGAATAACTCCAATCTGCAGTACTGAACTTCTTGAAACTTAAAAAAAAAAAGTAAACTGAGATGAAGCATGGAAAACATGAGCCCCACAGGAGTTGTCTTGAGAAAGTTTAAGTTTTGAGCAACTGAAAAGGTGTCGGAGTGGAAGGTCAGGATGGAACTTGGAACAGAACTGTATTTATGTGGGAACTACCTGAACCCACAATTGTACCTATTCACAACAGAAAACCTACACATTAATTCCCTGCCGTCTTCCTCCTCCTCACCTCTTAATGTTCAGGAAAGCAGGGTACCAGGGTAATGGCCATAAGATTTCCCTGTAGCACCTCACATACCAGCATCTCAAAGCACTTTATGCACCTCAGGTGACACCTGCAAAAAGGGGGGGAAATGGGCTTGTGCCCCGCTTTTTTCTCTCTTCCTTCTTGTTTGTCATGTAGGAAAGGCCTGAACAAATCGTTTTCACAAAAAGTTACTTCTTGTTTGTAAATTCAGGTCCTATGTAGCCTGCAAGGCTGTGGTATTTGGAGAAATAGTGAAATGGTATCACAAGAGCAATGAGAGGGAAAAGTTGGGCAGGGAAGGGATTTTTAGTCAGGCTTCTCAAAATTATGTTTCCCTTTTGCTTATATCCATTTAACTCCAATGCCTGACTAATTCTTTGGAGAAAGGAAGCCTTTGTTAAAGAATGAACATCTTCCCTCTCCCATCCCGTCAGCTGAGGTTTGAGAGATAACAATGTACATCCTTGGAGAACCCCAGCAAGTCCTCCTGACCCTGCCAGCAGGTAGGGGATCTTGGGGGACAACTACTGCACTGGTGGGGTGCAAAATAAACTTTATTAAGAAAATGCAAAAACAGGGAAAATTTAATAGTGAGGGGTATGGGGTTTGTTAAGGTAGACAATTGGGGAGGGGTTTCTTTTAGTAAATAGGATGGGGGGTTCAATAGTGGGGTACAATACAGTTGGTAACCAATTAACACTGAAGTATAAATGTAACAGGTAGCTAACAGTTCCTATGTAAAGGGTGTGTCACAGCAGCATATAACCAACTAACAGTTATGGGTAAAATGTGTTAAATAACCAACAACTCTAGGTAAAAATACGTCACAGTGGTTAAATGTAAAATGTGAGATGTGTTAGAGAGAAAAAGGGTAACCAATGGGGTTTTATGCTAAACTTCAGTAATACAATTGAGGTTTGGCAGCAGCAGGAGTGTGGTGAGCACGTGGGGGAAGGGATTAAAAGAGAGAGAGAGAGAAAGGCAGTGGTAGAGGAGTGAGGTTGGGGGATGGGGGAAGAGGAGCAGGTGGTGGAGCAGAGAGGGAAGAGGCAGATTTAAACTTAGGGAGACAGAGAGCAGACAGGCTGCAAGTTTAAACAGCAGAGAGACAATTATACAGAACACAGCAAAATCTTATCTATGATTTAACTTAACCAAGGCTACACAAATTAGCAAGTAACAGAACACAGTGCAACAATTCTTTAAGCCTAATTTACAGAGTACAATGCAAGCAATTTTCTAAACCTAACTTAACCACAACTATACAAAATGAAATTACAATTGATCTAGACTAAAGGCTAAATCTAACCTAATGGGTGCACCTTATACTAGGGGTAGTTCCAGAGGGCGGAGTGGTGTGTGCCCAGGATACAGCTTCAACGGGGGGGGGTGGTTTTAACTAGTGGTGGCTGCAAGCAGGCTTATTTCTAGCAGCAAAGGCGCTGCGGAGATAGAAGCAGATTACAGATACAGACCAAGGAGTTAGCTTGGGTCTGCCTGCTGGGGAAAGGAAGCCAGCAGCCAGAACAAGGGGGGTGTGCAAGAGGTTTTTCCTTACCAATCCCCAAAGCAGCAGCAGGAACAGCAGTTTCAGCATCAGAGGACGCAGAGAGGACTCGATTCGCTTACAATAATCAGGAGATCTCCAGGCACAAATGCGTTGTTCGTGGGAGGGGAGTTTAAAAACGGGGGTACGCTCAAAAACAAACG